GGCTCAATACAAGGTGGACTATTTATGAAAGCATGATTCTCAAGCATTTCAATTTTCTTGTTTAATGATCAGAGAAACATTTATGCCTAAAACACTATGAATAAATATAAACTGCGAAAAATATTAAGACCATGTCCTGCAGATCGTCTTTGCAGTTTGCAGATTTTCCATACAATTCTGCTTCTGGTATTTATTTAATGTTCTACTTATTTTTATGGTATATGAGGAAGTGTCTTTGAGCACAGTGTAAGGCTGCTTTTTCTTTTTATGTCCTGTGTCTACCCCCGTGAGTGCTGCTTCCCGTAATAAATCAAATCTATATATTTTTTTCTCATAATTAACAAATGAAAATCAAACTCATAAAGGAAGACTAAAGTGTTAGGAATATAAATGTGCATTTTCCAACGCTTTAGTGTTCTTGTCCCTAGGTCTGGTGGTTCCCCCCCTGCTGTTTGACATAAAAAGGTTTTAAAAAAATATATATTTAACGTTCTTTTTTCCAGTGTCAGGCTTCCCACTGAGCTAATTTCTTCTTCTCCTAGGGCATCATCTAGGAGGCATGGCCTTCTCTGGACTTTGTTCAATCCAATTCTCCTTATAGTGATACACTGGGGGACCCGATGCGCATGCACTGCTAGCTCCATGCACGCGTCTCATTTTTCCATAGGAAAGCATTAGATCTAAACTTTCCTGTGGTGGCTGCAGACACACGACCGCATTTTACTCAGTTACTGTAGCAGGCAGCACCTCCCGTGTCTGTCAGTACGACAGCCACTGGAGGTGAGTTTAACTCTGCAATGTAAACATAGCAGTTTCTCATAGGGGTAAACCTACAGGATCACAGCACCACGGCCACTTCATTGTGAAGAAGTGGCCCAAGTGACCTTAGTGGTCCTTTAAGAAAACAATCAAATAAAAAATGCTAGATATTGCATATTATCTATAGCAGGGGTACCCAAAAGGTAGATCCCCAGATGTTTTAGAACTACAACTCCTATGATGCTTTGCATGCCTTTAGCATTACCTTTTGGGCTCCCCTGATCTGTAGTTTTCGAATGTATTCTAAATGCTTTTCACATAATCTATGTTTTTCATTTGCACATTCCTTACAGCAACGTAAAAAAAGAATCAAGGTAATTTCATTCTTGTCCTTCAGTTACACAGATAATATGCCATTCAAGAACATTATTAATTTACTGTAGAATTAGAATACGGTACATTTTCCTACAAGTGCTAATGTTCCTGAATGAAGCTCATATAAAATGCACAGGAACAGGTAAGTGCGTTCAGGCAAATAAAAAACAAGGTTAATGAGATAATTATCATATTAAGCCTTCCCCTTTCTCTGCTGATGATTATAATGACCAAATAATATGGAATATAAATAAAAGTTTTCTTGTATAGCATCTGCCATGGACAGATTTAATGTATGGCTGTAAAAGTCTGCCAAAGTACTTATTTGATACCAGCTGGGCAGGAGATCAATAAAAGTAATTTGTGAACACAGGGGGGTTTGGATACCTTTTGTGATTCTGAGAGGCCTTTGAAGATATCAGAAATTGCCCAGTGGGATGCTCAATATCTTATGAGAAGATACCATAGAGACACTTTATTACTAAAGATCACATAACAATTACTGATGGAGAGTTAATGAGCTTCATATATCAAATATGTCAGAATATCTGCATTTTCGGCAAACAGATCACCTTAAAAAAGAAAACAGAAATTGAAAAATGAAGATGATAATTTTTTTAATCCATTTTTGTGGTGGGGAAAGTGAATACGTCAGGTTAGGTGTGAAATAAGGTCTTTGCTATTGAACCTTTGCGCTGAAGTGGCTTGATGGACAAGTTATTTTGTAGAAAGACTTTATGATTAGAGTTGAGCGAACCCGGACTGTAAAGTTCGCGTTTTTTGGACCCGAACCCGGACATATCACTGTATGTTTGGGTTGGAGTTCGGTGTTCGGCGATTTAATGACGCGTTTGGAAAGGCTGCATGGAAGCCAATCAACAAGCATTTGACTTGTGTGCCCTTAGAAGCCATCACAGCCATGCCTACTAATGGCATGGCTGTGATTGGCCAGTGCAGCATGTGACCCAGCCTCTATATATAAGCTGAGGTCGCGTAGCGTTGCACGTCACATGAGCTCTTATTAGTGTAGGGAGAGGATGCTGCCACTGTGAGGGACAGCTTAGGAAAGAATTCTACAAACTAGTACATTAGTGGGGTGCACTTCATATCTGAGAGTCAAATAGAAGCGTCAAATACTGCTGTCACATTGCAGTTTTAAAACTTAAAATTATTTGGGTGCTAAACTGCTAAATAGTATTTTAGTGAGGTGCACTTCATATTTGGGAGTTAAATATAAGCGTCAAATAGTGCGCTTACTGCACAGTTGTAAACATTCTAATTGTTTTGCTGCTAATCTGCTGCTTACATTGGAGTTTTAAAAAGTCTTTTTTTTTGGTGCTAAATAGTACATTTTGGGGTGTTCACTTTATATCTGAGAGTCAAATTGAAGCGTCTAATAGTGTGCTTATAGCACAGTTGTAAAAATTCTAATTTTCTGGGTGCTAATCTGCTAAATAGTACATTTTGGGGTGTGCACTTCATATCTGAGAGTCAAATCGAAGCGTCTAATAGTGTGCTTACAGCACAGTTGTAAAAATTCTAATTTTCTGGGTACTAATCTGCTAAATAGTACATTTTGGGGCGTGCACTTCATATCTGAGAGTCAAATCGAAGCGTCTAATAGTGTGCTTATAGCACAGTTGTAAAAATTCTAATTTTCTGGGTGCTAATCTGCTAAATAGTACATTTTGGGGCGTGCACTTCATATCTGAGAGTCAAATCGAAGCGTCTAATAGTGTGCTTACAGCACAGTTGTAAAAATTCTAATTTTCTGGGTACTAATCTGCTAAATAGTACATTTTGGGGCGTGCACTTCATATCTGAGAGTCAAATCGAAGCGTCTAATAGTGTGCTTATAGCACAGTTGTAAAAATTCTAATTTTCTGGGTGCTAATCTGCTAAATAGTACATTTTGGGGCGTGCACTTCATATCTGAGAGTCAAATCGAAGCGTCTAATCGTGTGCTTACAGCACAGTTGTAAAAATTCTAATTGTTTTGTTGCTCATCTGCTAAATAGTACATTTTGGGGCCTGCGGTGCACTTCATATCTGAGAGTCAAATAGAAGCGTCTAATAGTGTGCTTACAGCGCAGTGGTAAAAATTCGAATTTTCTGGGTGCTAATCTGCTAAATAGTAAATTTTGGGGTGTGCACTTCATATCTGAGAGTCTAATCGAGGAGTCTAATAGTGTGCCTACAGCGCAGTGGTAAATATTCTAATCTTCTGGGTGATAATCTGCTAAATAGTACATTTTGGGGCATGCACTTCATATCTGAGAGTCAAATCGAAGTGTCTAATAGTGCGCTTACAGCACAGTTGTAAAAATTCTAATTTTCTGGGTACTAATCTGCTAAATAGTACATTTTGGGGTGTGCATTTCATATCTGAGAGTCTAATCGAGGAGTCTAATAGTGTGCTTACAGCGCAGTTGTAAAAATTCTAATTGTTTTGCTGCTAATCTGCTAAATAGTAAATTTTGGGGCCTGCGGTGCACTTCATATATAAGCGTCTAATAGTGTGCTTACAGCGCAGTTGTAAAAATTCTAATTGTTTGTTTTGCTGCTAATCTGCTACTTACATTGGAGTTTTAAAAAGTCAATTAAAAAAAAAAAAAATTGGTGCTAAATAGTATATTTGGGGTGTTCACTTCATATCTGAGCGTCAAATCGAAGCGTAACTTTGATTAGAATTTACTACATCGGTCACATGTAATATTGTTTCACACCTACAACACTTGTTACACAGATCTAAGTGATAGAAAACAGATTGATATTTTCTACACTAGAAACTACCAGATAACAAGCTGCTATATTTAAACCAGTTATCAATAGCTAAGAGGTACTTAAACAATATTGTATTTCTGGGGCAACACCCTCACAAGTCAAACTGAGAGGTCGGTTTATAGGGAAAACTGTTGCCTGGATACAATTCTAAAACAATTTCCATATGTCCTTTGCAGACTTTACATGCTGGAAAAACACAGGTGCCAACTGCTGTGGTGTTCTGCAATGTGTAGACCGGTAAGGAGGGCAGGGTTGAGGAGTGGGTGGAAGATGATGTGGAGGATGATGAGGTCCTAGACCCCAAATGGAATCAAGGTCATGCGAGTGACGTGTGCAGTTTGGAGGAGGATGCGCTGGTCGCACAGAGGCACCAGCACAGCATAAGAGGGAGCAGGGAGCAAAAATGGAGGAGCCGTCCCCTAGCGCTTGTCGGCATGTATTAGCTCCAGAATTACCAGTTATCCAAGCAATACATGTAGCGATCAAAGGATCCATAATAGAGTTGAGTGAACCCGAACTGCAAAGTTCGGGTTCGTACCAGATATAACGATCCATTCGTAGTTTCACAGTCAGGTGGGCAGTCTGGTGACCAGGACACAGACACTGTCTGGGCGGCGGTCAGACAACCGGGACCCAGTATGCCTGATGTTGAAGTTAGGAGTCACAGTGTGGAATGGATTAGCAGGGTATGGTGCAGGGTAACCGCACGCCCCCTGGTGTTGAGCACCAGCATTTGTGCGGCCACATACCAGGACCCTGATGCAGCTTCAGTAAAAAGAGTACTGGATACCAGAAGCTATCACCAGACTGATCCGCAACTTGGAACAGGATGTGACATTCAATGTAGCGGCTGTGCGCACTTTTGGTGTTGTCACCCTGCTGCTGCTCGCCTGTCTGTGCTGCAGCGTAACTTCGGCCTTGCCGCTCACCGCCTCATGAGACTGTAGTGGAGTTTCAGCTGCAACACGCATGAGTCAGTGGCTCTGCACCTGACTTTTCTCCAATTGATCAGAGTTAAAGGATTTCAAGTGGACTCATTACAATTACAGGGCCTCTAAAGAGTTCTGTATTGTTATTTGTCGTCACTACCTTCCCGGGTCGGGAGTGGGTCATTTGCGCGCCTGCTGCCTTCCTTGCATGTGGTAGTCGTTTCTCAGGGTCCCTGTATGGAATGAAACCCTGATTCTCCGTTACCCGTGGTCACCATGGTAGACACAGAAACTGGCATTGAAAGTTGATATGGATGACATCCGCATGCAAAGTCGCCGCCACGGGGATGTGCGATTTGCCTTAGGTTCTCTAGAGTCAAAAAAGTGCCTGCGCAACTATAATGTCAACAGCTACTCTGCGGAACAGAGTTGTCTTTTTTTATATGTCCCAATATTTTGGGGGCTACCCCAATAAAAAAAAAATAAAAAAAATAAAATATATATATATATATATATATATATATATATATAACAGTGTTGGCTACCTCATCCTCCTCCTCCACCGCCATGGTCACCGCCTCCTCAACCTATAGTATAAACTATGTACACATTAGCAGATGCTTGTGGAGGCCCTTTCTCCATGCATCAGGAGTTGAGCATTTCTCCATGCATCAGGACTGCAAGAAATGCACCGCAGGCCGCAAATGTTTCTTTTTTTTTGTATGTGCCAATATTTTGTGGGCTACCACAATAAAAAACAAAAACAAAAAACCCAGTGTTGGCTACCTCATCCTCCTCCTCCACCACTGCTTCCACCTCTCTCTAGCTTTCCAGGAGTTTTTTAGAGGCATTTTTGTGGCCAAAAGTTAGGGTCCCCATTGACTTCAATGGGGTTTGGGTTCGGGGTTAAGTTCGATCACAAACCCGGACTTTTTTTTTTCAAAGTTCGTCAGAAACCGCTGGACCCGAACATCCAGGTGTCCGCTCAACTCTATTTATGATGTAAGTAATAAAAAATAAGACTTAGAAATAAACATTAAGAGGATAGGTAAGCAAAGAGAATGGAAAATATTGTCTTAACACTAATACAGGTGACGTTCAAAAACTCAAGCCCAATATATTTTTTACTGCGTTTTCTGATCTGAAAACTTTGTGTTTGAAAAGTCATTTCAATAAATGCTGGAACGAAGGTGACAACAGTCTTCTGTAGATTCTTTTTGATGTAAAGGAGACAGTTCCTTCTTGTCAACTCAAAAAGAAAAAAAAAATCAGATTTTAAGAATATTGATGTTGAGAGACGTTAGTACGATTAAATGTATTACAAATATTTTAGGTCTTTGTCATAAATGTTTCACAGCCATGTTACGTTTTGTTATGTCTGTGGTTTAAAGCATATTTTTCAGACAATTAATTCGCTGTTCAATCGTTTGATTGTTTGGTTTTGTTGTTGTTGTGTCTTTGTAAAAAAAAAAAAAAAAAGTTGCTAAAATAAATATTTCTGAATTGGAAGTGGTGCAAATGTACATCCAAAATACCAATTGCGCAATGAGAAAACTCGAGGCAGAGTGTATGCTATTTTGATTAAAGTAAGGTTTTTTGTTTGTTTTGTTTTTTACAGGCAGCAGGTGTCTCTATTAAGTTTGGTTTACTATAATAATATATTCCCTTACAGCACACGTACATTACTGGATAATTCAGTGGCATAATTAAATCATATCTTTGGCAAACACAAAAAAAATGTGATTTAATAATGATAAAAATTCTGCCCTGTTAAGTTGCTTGGAGATTAGAGTATGGTTGAATATGTAGCTGTTTAAGCAAATTAAAAACTGGAGTACCCCCCTCCAAACTGCCATCCAAAATTGGTCAGTTTCTATTCTCTTAACTTGTTTAATTCCCCTATCAATGCCTTCTATAAGTGATTCCTCTCTCTCTCCCCTTGTCCTTTCTCAACCCCACTTAGTTACAGATACCACTTTTACCAAGGATATTTTATTGTTTTGCTCAGTTTCTTTACTCATAGGTAATTACATAGTTACATAGTTACATAGCTGAAAAGAGACTTGCGTCCATCAAGTTCAGCCTTCTTCACATATGTTTTTGCTGTTGATCCGAAAGAAGGCAAAAAAACCTAGTCTGAAGTGCTTCCAATTTTGCAACAAACTAGGAAAAAATTCCTTCTTGACCCCAAAATAGCAGTCAGATGTCTCCTTGGATCAAGCAGCTATTACCCCACTAATTAGAAATTATATCCCTGTATTTTATGTTTTTGCATGTATTTATCCAATTGCAGTTTAAACATCTGTATGGACTCTGATAAAACCACCTCTCCAGGCAGAAAATTCCATATCCTTATTGCTCTTACTGTAAAAAAACCTTTTCTTTGCCTTAGATGAAATCTCCTTTCTTCCAGCCTAAATGTGTGACCTTGTGTCCTATGTATAGCTCTGTTTATGAATACATTTCCAGATAATGGTTTGTACTGGCCCTGAATATATTTGTGATATGTTATCATGTCCCCTGTGAGGCGCCATTTTTCCAAACTAAGGAGATTTACATTTTTCAACCTTTCTTCGTAACTAAAATGCTCCATTCCTTTTATCAATTTTGTAGCTCATCTCTGCACTTTTTCTAGTGCCATGAGATCCTTCTTTAGAACAGGTGCCCAAAATTGCACAGCATATTCAAGGTGTGGTCTTACCAGCGATTTATAAAGAGGCAAAATTATATTTTCATCCCGAGAATTTATGCCCCTATTTATACATGACAATACCTTACTGGCCTTAGCAACTGCAGATTGACATTGCATATTGCTGCCTAATTTGTTGTCTATAACAATTCCCAAATCCTTCTTATGTGTGGTTATTGCTTGTGCATTCTTTACCCAGAAGTCCATAACTTTGCATTTCTCTACATTAAATTTAATCTGACATTTTAGTGCCCAGTCCCCCAATCCATCCAAATCTCTCTGCAGCAAAGCAATATCCTGCTCAAATTGTATTACTTTACAGAGTTTTTTATCATCTGCAAACACTGGAACTTGGCTTTCAATGCCTATTGCAAGATCATTTATAAATACGTTAAATAGAAGCAGTCCCAAAACAGTACCCTGAGGGACACCACCTACCACTTTTGTCCAGCCTGAAAATATACCATTAATGACAACTCGTTGTACTCTCCCCTTAAGCCAATGTTCTACCCAAGAACAAGAATATTCATCTAGACCAATTTCTTTAGTTTGAAGACTATCCTATTGTGAGGAACCGTATCAAATGCCCTGGCAAAATCCGAGTAGATCACATCCACTGCAACACCCTGATCTATACTTCTACTTACTTCTTCGTAGAATGCAATTAGGTTAGTTTGACATGACCTATGTTTCATAAATCCATGCTGATTATTGCTAATGCTAAAAGTTCTTTCCAATGAATTCCCGAGATATTATCCCTTAATAGCCCTTTAAACATTTTCCCAGCCACAGAAGTTAAGCTCACAAGTCTATAATTTCAGGCAAGGATTTTGAACCCTTTTTAAATATAGGAACAACATCTGCCTTCCTTCAATCCTCTGGTACAATACCTGAAACAAAAGAACCTTGAAAGATTAAATACAGAGGTTCACTTATTTCCCCACTTAGCTCTTTAATTACTCCTGGGTGAATACCGTCAGGCCCCGGAGCATTATTTACATTAATTTTCTTTAAGTGCCGTAGCACCTTGTCTCGGTCATCCAATCACAAGTTATCTGCAATCTTTTTGCAGCAATCATTTGCATATCTCTTGCCATAGGATCATTATTAATATATACTGAAAGAAAAATAGTCATATAAAATGTTTGCCTTTTCCTGGTCTTCATTAACTGACAGACCCATCTCTGTTTCCAGTGTTCCTACACTTATATTTTTTTTTATTTTTTTTTAGAATTGATGTACTTGAAAAAAAATTGGGGTTGGTTTTGCATTCTTTCGCTATCAATTTCTCATTTTCTAGTTTAGCCATTTTAATTGCCTTTTTGCAAGCATTATTGGCTTCCTTATATCTTATATAGGATGCCTCTGATTTGTCCGATTTAAATGCTTTAAATGCCCTTATTTTTAATCTCTTGTTTTACTTCTCTACTAAGCCACATTGGTTTCCATTTGTTTCTTTTATATTTATTACCCAATGGTACATACTGTGAAATGTACCTTTCTAATATTTGTTCGAACAGTTTCCATTTATGCTTAGTGGTTTTTTTCACTATGGGGTTTATGCCAGTCGATATGTTGTACAGTGGCCCTAATCTTATTGAAATTGGCTTTTTTTTTAAATTATACTCTTTAGTATACCCCCCGTGTTTTTGCTTTTTTGAGTTTATTTCAAAGATTACCATATTGTGATCACTATTTCCCAAATGCTCCCCTATTTGAATGTTGGTCAAAAGACCAACATTGTTTGTTATAACGAGATCCAGACAAGCATCCTTTCTAGTTGGTGCTTGTACCAGTTGTGACATAAAGGTGTCATTTAACACATTCAAAAACCTGATCCCCCTTACTGAAGTACTAGTCCCTCTATCCCAATTTATGTCTGGATAATTAAAATCCCCAATAATTAACGTGTTACCTTGATTTGCAGCTTTCCCAATTTGCTCTAACAGCTGTTCTTCCTCATTCATATTTTCATTAGGTGGTTATAACATATCCCAATCAATAATTGATTTCCCTTTGTTTGCCCCAAGCAGATATCTACCCATAAAGCTTTTTCCTCGTCACACTCCACATGCCTAAGATTTGACTTTAACTCATGGCTGACATACAAACATACCCAAACACCCTTCTTGTTTTTCTTATCCTTCCTAAATAACGTGTACCCATTTAAGTTAACTGCCCAGTCATGTGTCTCATCCCACCATGTTTCTGTAATGCCTATTATATCATATTGCATCATGTTACAAATATGTATTCCTAATACTATAGTGCCATGTTTTGGTGTTTGGCCTCCCTTTTTGTGAAAGAAAAAACACAATTTTAGTTACCATTTCTCACCGGCAGTGCTGGTTTCCATGTCCTGCCTCCTTGACTGAGATCATCGAGATAAATTATTTCAGCCAATCAAATGATTTTTTCATTGGAAAGCATTGGGATAGGCTCAGCAAAATGCCACGCTGCGCCAATCAGATGGTCTGTTTGGCAACATCTGGTAGAAACAGTTGAATTATACTCAGCCACTAGAGATGCTTCCACAGAAATAGCTGTCAGTATGACAACCACTAGAAGCATTTAAATCCTGCAATATCAATATTTCCATTACTGGAGAACGACAATATTTTTTTCAGTTACAGGGTTAAGCCTACAGGAACATGGCACCCAGACCACTTCATTGAATTAAGATGAATTGGTCTGGGTACCTATAGTGTCCCTATAACATTGCAACTTCTCTTATTTTCATATTGTATTTTGGATTTTAAGTGAATAT